TGTAAAGAAAGGTACCTTTTAATCTCTACAAACACCTGATATCCTCCTAGCTTATATTAGGTCTCCGTTCTTCAGCAAATTAATAAAACAAACAGATCAATTTATGATGTTATAAGATAAATCCTAATAAAAACCATTCAAATGCCCCAGAAACTTTCAGAACTTGTACTCAACTAGCTGCTATTTTTAAAAGGTTTTGCAGAATTGTCCTATTACTTTTCCAATTTATAAAATATTCTTTTATCCATTATTGTACTTATTCTTCTTGCTTTCTACTTCATAAATGTATGCTTTATGTCCTATCAATATTTGTATTTTCAAACTGGTTTGATGAAAACAAAAATTGTTATGCATAAAGAAGCAGACTCACATGAGCTGTTGTTTTCTCTTATACAAGGAAGCATGTAGGATAATTAGTACAAGCTAAAATCCTTGTTGCTGAGTTATACAATCATGATGAGCTGATACATAAGTCCTAATTCAATCATTTGTGAATCTTTTTTCCTTTCTCTCCACCTACACGCATTCCTTAAATCAAATTTCAAAGATCCAATGAAACCATCACAAAAATACATTTCATTAAGTCCTAGAAATTTTTGTGGTTTTATTAATATGATGAAAAATAATTTCAAATAAACAGATGAGATGCTAATGTGGGAAAGTACAGAAGAAAGGCAGAAAAGGAATTAATCTTTTACTAATAACAGATATCCGACCCAATCATCAAAAAATAAGGCACAGAAGAGTCTTTCAGTTTTCTTTAGCTACTTCCTAGGATCTAAGTAACAGCATATCACTTGAATTCAAACACTACAGATCATCATCAATAACTATGGACTGTGTGCTATTGAGTCAGGATGTTATTGTTAGTGAATGTGAATTAGAAGCCTAACTCTGCCATTTATTTAAAAGTCTTATGATCACAAGTCTTCATCTGTATAAATGGGATAATAAAAGCACGTATTTCATTAGGTTAGTATGAAAATTAAATGAGATACTGTATGTCTAGCAAAATTTCTGAAACTTAGAAAATATACTTAAAATGTTAGATGCTTATTATAATATCCACAGTAAGTAAAGCATTTTGTTCATGTAGACCTCATCATAAAATTACTTGATATTTCACTGGCTTCTCACTGCCTATAGAATTAACTCTAATATCTTTAATATAACATATAAACTGAAAGTGAAAGCTGCACAGTCATGTCTGACTTTTTGTAACCCCATGGACTTTAGCCTACCAGATTCCTCTGTCCATGGAATTCTCCAGGGAAGGATACTGGATTGGGTAGCCTTTCCCTTCTCCAGGGGATCTTCCCAACCCAGGGATCAAACCCAGGTCTCCCACACTGCAGGTGGACTCTTTACCATCTGAGCCACCAGTTCCCTATGATGGAAATAAATCAGAAAAAGAATGGACATAGATATAAGCGAATCATTTTTGTTATATACCTGAAATGTAATTTTATTACACTTCAGTAAAAGTTATAAAAACCAAAATAATTGATTAATTTAAAAAACAGTCACAAAAGAAGTTTACTCTTCCTCTCTGCTCTCTGCCAGGTGAGGGTATAAGAAGGAAGCAGTCTACAAATCAGAAAATATTCCTCCCCAGAACTCCACCATACTGGCACCTTGATCTTGGATTTCCAGGCTCCAGAATTGTAAGAAATAAATTTCTGTTGTTTAAACTATCCAGTGTATGGTAGTTTGTTAAACAGCTTGAACTAAGACATTTGGAAATAGGGACTGTGAGAAGGTGATGAAGGTTAAATGAAGTCCTAAGAAAGTAAAACTGAAAATCACTCAGTTGTCATGTCCAACTCTGCAACCCCACATACTCTACAGTCCATGGAATTCTCCTGGCAAGAATACTGGAGTGGGTAGCCTTTCCCTTCTCCAGGGGATCTTCCCAACCCAGGGATCAAACCCAGGTCTCCCACACTGCAGGTGGACTCTTTACCATCTGAGCCACCAGGGAAGCCCAAGAATATTGGAGTTGGTAGCCTATCCCTTCTCCAGCAGATCTTCCCGACCCAGGTATCAAACCGGGGTCTCCTAGTTGCAGGTGGGTGCTTTACCAGCTGAGCTACCAGGGTAGCTTCACAGCATATAAGGAATTCTGATAAACACCTCTCATCATTATTTCTCTTCTATAAACCAACCCCATTAGACTTCAGTTCCTCAAGTATGCCATACCCACTTTGCCTTCCTCCAAGTATCAATATTTCCACATGAAGTTCATTTTGCATACAACATTCTATCCCATCTTCTCCTTCCTTCACTGTATAAAAATCACATCTTCAAGAGCCCATCCCTAACATGCTGACTAATCTAGGTTGACTAGTTTAATGTTCACGAAAATACCTTGCAACTAGCATATGTCAAGACTGAAGATGAAACCCAATGTGCTGAGACTGGCCTGTTAGAAAAATAAAAAGGGTCTATGTCTGCTTACCTCCAAACTGTTGGTTATATTAGCATTAAATATACTTATTGTTTAAGCCAGAGGTTGACAAACTACAGCCCTTGGGCAAATCTAGCCAGCTGCCCATTTAAAAAAAATAAAGTATTATTGGAATTTAGCCATGCCATTCATTTAGTATCATCTATGGCTGCTTTCATGCTAAAAGGGCAGAGTTTAGTAGTTGCAACAGAGACATAAGGCCCAGGAAGCCTAAGTTATCTACTAATCCAGCTCTTCAAAAAAGCTTCCTGCCTTTGGTTTAAGCTACATTTAGTTAGGTTTTGTTACTCGTAGTCAGAAGTATCCTAACCCATAGGAGTTAGTTTCCTTTTGAAACATTCATCTGATTTCACTGCAATAATTTATCTATCTTCCTTTCTATATATGCTTATTTTGCCACCTGCATGAAATCTCTCAGTAGGATTGCAGCCATTATGTACCGATTACTTAACATACACATGACAAATAGAATGCATTCAAATATTGTTGACAGAACAAGTGAACAAATGAATGCGTGAGCATATCTGATCAATAACCAATAAATTTTTATTAACAACTATGTACATCCAGCCTGGATGGCATCACTGACTCGATGGGCATGAGTTTGACTAAACTCCGGGAGTTGGTGATGGACAGGGAGGCCTGGCGTGCTGCAATTCATGGGGTCACAAAGAGTTGGACACAACTGAGTGACTGAACTGAACTGAACTTAAAGACATGGAAATACCAGACCACTTAACCTNAACACGACTGAAGTGACTTAGCAGCATTACCTTTGTTGAGATTTAGGAAATAATGACAAATATGATATTATTATCTTATAAACCTATCATCCAGGAATGAGTCCTTTGAACACAACAAGCTCTGAGTGATCAAAGAATCTAACTGTAGAGCTGGCCCAGACCTTCAAGATTACTGTCACCACATGAGACCCTTTCCTGAAACTATGCAACCTCCTTATTTATTCATGCTCTTGTTTTCTCTTGCCTTTAAAATGTCCCATACAATACCTTATGTAATATCAACTTTATTCTAAAAGTGTAAAAGTTGGTGAAGTAGAAAGCAAAGATTTAATGACCAGCAAAAATCATAGTCACATCACAGTCACATAATATTTAAAGCATAAACGAAAAGGAGGAGGGAAAACAAGGAACAAGGAGCAAGGCATTTCCTTGACTGACATAATTTATTTGTCCTCTTAGTCCGTATTTTCCAATCTTAGAAACTTACTCTACATGCTCTCTTCCAATCTATCATTCTTCTGACTTTCACTCCTTATCAATATATTCCCCCCAAACCCTCTCTGATCCTCATTTCATTCTAACTCTGGCTAAGTCAGCCTCCCTATCTTTAAAGCCAGATATCCAACCCTATCTCCTCTAACATTTAATAATCCTTAAAACTAGAAGAGACAGAACTCAGGATTTTACAGGGCAGTGACTGCTCAATGTCCATTAATGGCTGCAGGGTGATCAGGGAAAAGAAAGTCACATAATAATGTAACACATTCCCAAAATCCACTACAAATGGATCATTTCAAAGAATACATAAAAGGCAATAATCCAGGCAGTTTTATATAGTATCACTGTAAATCTGGATAAAAATAAGCATACAGACAACTGTGAAAAAGAAAGGGATGGGAAGAGTTCCATATCCTTCAATAAACTTAATTCTTTATAGAATCAACATCTCAAGGGACCATATGGAAGATCTTGGTAAGCTCTTCAATTTAACACTGAGAAGGGACACACCAAAAGACAACATACGTGTCTCAAGTGTTAAAGTGAACACACATAGGGTGCTGAAAGAACGACAAAAGAGGACAAATTCTAAGATGCTCCACTTCACAGAATAAAAGACCCCAATGTCACTTTGGAAAAACAAATAAGAAGTTGTAATTTAAGCTAATAAAGATTTTGTTTCATTTTAACATCTTCTAATTAAATAAGCAATTTTGAGTGGACTTCAACATCCAAACAGACAAAACTGGAACAACTGTTTTAATGAAAACAATTCCAGAAAAAGTAAACTCTGGGTCTCATATGCACATACACTCATCTAATACACACATATATCTTTATATTAAGGATGTCCTCATTCTACATTGAAAGAAGTCTTTTTACCAATAGTAAATCATGTGGGTCCCTCCCTTATCTTTTTTCTTTTGCTCTGAGTTTTAATAAGCTAATATACATCTTCAATCATAAGTAATCTTCAAATTTTAAGTATCATATTCATGATGAGGAAAATGGAACTTTCCTAACAAATTATGTAAATTTTCCTTTACTGACATAGTAAGTTTTGACAGGACAATTTATTTCTAAGATTTATTTTATAAATATTAAATGAAAACAGGAATAGAAAGGAAGTACAGTAAAAATTTGAGATAAGTATTTTGACTTATCTTTTCTTCTTTCACCATTATATTCTTCCCTTTTTTCCATCTAAGAAGCACATTGGAAGATGAAACTACAGTTTTATTGCTGGTATGGAATCACTGAGTCACCACTGCTTTAGATTCACTTCAACTTACCCACGTTTGATGTTGTGTAATTCCTTGTCCTTGCCTTTCTCCTTTTCCTTTTCTCTTTTCTCCTTATCTCGGCCTTTACGTCGTTCTCTATCCCGAGACCGACTACGTGTTCTTCTGTGACTGGACCTTTCACTGCTTCGACTGTGGGAACGTGGCCGAGGTCTTGATCGGGACCTATGGTAAGTACATTTCATTAAATACATTGAGAATATAATTTGTATTATGAAATAAAATTTTTTAATTGTCTGAAAGAAAAGGATTTAGTTTTAATTAAGGATTCAGTTAACTCTGTGAAGTGAGCATCTAAAGATGATTCTTTATGAATAAGTACTCTGCTAAGTGACATGTGAGGGAAACTCAGGGTGCCAACTTTACAAAAATATAAGATTTAGTCAAAGAGTGTTTGTTCAGGTGTTCACGGGTTCCTGGTGGCATCATGGGTACGAATCTGCCCGCCAACACAGGGGTATGGGTTTGACCCCTGGTCCAGGAAGACCCCACAAGCCTCGGGGCAACTAAGACTGTGCAATACAATTACTGAGCCCGCACTTTAAAGTCCATGAGCCGCAACTACTGAGCCTGCCCACCTAGAGCCCATGCTCTGCAACAAAAGAAGCCACTGCAATGAGAAGTATGTGCACCACAACTAGATAGCAGCCTCGGCTCTCTGCAACTAAAGAAATGCCCGCACACAACAATGAAGACCCAGTGCAGCCAGTAAATAAATAAATAGAGAGAAAAAAAAGTGCACCAGCCTTGCAGCACTACAACCAGCTTTTAAAAAAGTGTTTGTTTAGTCAAAAAAGTTTTAAAGTTCAAATCAAGTCTTCAATGCTGAAATCTCTTCAAGATAAAATAACAAATCTAAATGGATCTATTCTAATCCCCAAGAATTAGGATCTTCCCCATCCCTACAAACTCTGCTTCTATTAATATATTGATTCAACATAATTTCCTGTATTAGTTACATTAAAACTATTCTTCTATATAATCCAGCTTATCTTTGCATTAAATGAAGGACAGTATTACGTCGGATATATTATGTGCCTTTAAAAAGTAGATATTTTTAAATCCTGCCCTACAGTACTGTCAAAAAAGTCTCTAACAGATTGATGATTCTACAGAAACTATAAAAAACTGTCTGAAGTCACTGAATAGTGACGGAAAGAAGGCACTGACCTATAAAAGGAAAAAATCTTACTATTTAAAGATGTTGCTGATTTATTTAACTTAATTTCAAGCAATTCGGTTATGGACCAAAAAGAACGAGCAATGACAACACTTGGAAAAAAGAAACAACAATAAACAGGATTGTTATTTTATGAGTTTCTTTTCTGAGGACAAGCCTAAGTCTGTGCCATGCAGGACAGCTAAAACTCCAACAGAGAACTTTAAAATTTATGGTCTAAAAAACTAGAACAAAGACTGAGGAAAATCATCACCAATTGAAAATTAAAGGGGAATCTTTGGAAAAGAGTCAGAGGAGAGAGAGCCAAAAATTGTAGCTGTAAATGCTATTTAATAGACCTCTGGCTGAATCGCAGATCATGCAGGAGGGGCAGACTCCAAACAGCTAAGGAAGAAAGAACTGAACTAAATATTTAACTGCCCCTAGAGAGACTAACGACTGAACTGAACTGAACTGAGAAGACTAATTCATCTAATACATATTAATGAATTCATTTAATTTTCTGCTTTAAAAAAGGTAAACAGAAAAGGTCATATTCTTCAGAGGAATATAACAGAGTCCATAATATTTGAAATATGACATTCATTATGGCCATGATAAAATTCAAAATTACTAGATATACAATGAACATGAGAAATGTAACAAAAGATACCAACCCTGGGATGAGTCAGATGTTGAATTAGCAGGCAAGGATTTTAAAGTAGTAGGTATAACTATGTTTGTCCTGAATATAAAGCTAAGAAATTTTAGAAGAAAAACAAGAAAGAAAAAACATTCTGTAACGGAAACAATACAATATATGAAATTAACATTATACTAACAGAGGCCAGAAGCAGACGGGTCGCAACAGAAGGGGAAAGCTCTGTGTACTTGAAGATAAATAAACTGAAATTGTCCAGTCTGAAGAACTAATAGGAAAAAAGATTGTTAAATGAAAAGAAAAACACAACTTCTGTAATCTCTGTGACAATATTCAAATATCTAACATGTTTATTTAAACTCAGAAGTAAAGTAGAGAAAATAATGAGATAGAAATCAATGTTTTTTTTAAAGTGGTCAAAATTTCCCCAGATTTAGTGAATAAAAACTTTACAGGGACTTCCCTGGTGGTTCAGTGGTTGAGAACCCACCCCTGCAGTGCAGAGGGTGTGGGTGCAATCCCTGATTACAGAACCGAGACCCCACAGGCCTTGGAGCAACCGAGTCCTTGCACCACAACTAAAGAGCCCACGTGCCACAGTGAGAGATTCTGCGTGATGAAACGAAGACCCTGCCTGCCACAACTAAGATGCAGCCAAACAAATGAGTATTTTTTTTTAACTTACAGTCAAGAAGTTTAATGAACTCCAGAATAAATGTGAAGACCATGACTAGTAATACCATAGTCAAGCTCATGAAAACTAAAGATAAAGCAAAATCTTGAAAATATTCAGAGAAAAGTTGACACATTACATACAAGAGAACAATAACATGAATTATCACTGGCTTCTCATAGAAACAATGAAGATAAGAAGACAGTGGAACAAAATTCTTAACATGGTGAAAGGGGTGGGGGAAACCAAACTGAAATTTTACACCCAGCAAAACTATCCTTCAAAAAATAAAAGTAAATCAAAGGCATCTTTGACATAAAGGAAAAGTAAATCATAATCATCAACCGTTAACAATGTAATTACAGTCTGTATTCAAGTGATTTCTTCAGGCTAAACAGAATGATAAATGGTGGAAACTTGGACCCTTAGAAAGGAAATAAAGGCCACTAGAAATGGTAAATCCAGGGGTAAATATTAAAAAGTACTTCCCTTAATTTAGTTAAAATACATATATATTTAAAAGTAAAAATTTTAAAGTAAAAATTATTTTTAGTAAAATAATTTAAAGTAAAAATTACAGTGTTTTACTATAGGGTTTATAATTAAAGTAAATATAATGCATGTAATCTCTAAAGAATAAATAATGGGACAGGTAAATGAACATATACAGTTAGAAAGTTTTTACATTTCAATGAACAGTGAAATATTAACTCTAAGTACACTGAAATGGTAAGGGTATATATGTAATCCTTACATTGACCACTTACAGGAGGAAAAAAAAAGGAGGAGGAAGAGGAACAAAATACAAAGAAGTAAAGCTAAAAACCCAATGAACTAAAAGAGATTTCTTTAAAAATATTCATTAACCCAAAAGGAGGCTGAAAAGGCTCACATGCCTTTCCATAAGACTTTCAAGATTAAGCAATTCCTGGCCAAGAAACAAAAACAGAGTTGTTCCATTCTCCAATAGATTCTGATGAAAACAAGTAATAAATCAAGTGTAACGCCAAGATGAGACACTGGAGAAGAATCAAACTGGGTCTATACGAAATTACATAAGAGATGGCACAAATATTTATGCTGTGTCAAAGTCACTTACATCCTACCATATCACTCTGAAAGTGTCACTACTATCTGGACAGTCGGATGAGTTGTATTGGGAAAATGATTTTTCTCTTGTTTCTATAGTTTTGCACTAGCAGGTTGGTTTGGTAATAAATACATGAGACCTTTTGCTTGAGAGGGGAGAAAAAGCCAGAGTTTGTCCAAATAAATAAAGTTTAAAATTTTTTTTTATTTTATATGAGAGAATAGTTGATTAACAATGTTGTATTAGTTTCAGATGTACAGCAAAGTGATTCAGTTATACATATAAATGTATCTTTTTTTTTTTCAAATGTTTTTCCCATTTAGGTTATCACAGAGTATTGTGTAGAGTTCCCTGTGCTATACAGTAAGTCCTTGATGATTAATATATGCACTAAACATAGATAAATCATGTAAACACAAAACAGCTGGAATGAATACAATAATATCAAATAAACTAAACTATCACCCTAGACACTGCCAAATTCTGGTTTCCCAAGAATATCAACAGATTTGGTAAATCCCTAGATACACTAATCAAACAAATAAGAAATGAGAAAACACAAATCATCAAAGAGATTTAAAACAAAAGATTGTGGATAAGGAGATCACAGGAACTAGTCTTGGGTACTTAGGATATACATAGGGCTTGAAGAAAACTATATGAGTTTTGCTGGTAGTAAGTTCTGTCCTTTTTCATCCCTAACTGGTTCATTCAGTGAGTAAAGAGCAATACTGCATCATGAGATCACAAACTTTTTTTAAAAAGTGATTTTGACAAGTGACAATATTTATTGCCAGGTTTCCCTGGTGGCTCAGTGGTAAAGAATCCGTCTGCCAATGCAAGAGATGCAGATTCAATCCCTGGGTTGGGAAGATCTTCTGAAGAAGGAAATGGCATTCCTCTCCAGTATTCCAGCCTGGGAAATCTCACGGACAGAGAAGCCTGGAGGGCTATAGTCCATGGGGTCACAAAAGAGTCAGACCCAACTTAGCAACTAAACAACAAACAACAAAACAAAATAATATTTATTGCTAGGAATGTCAATATGGGTTCATTATCCTAATTTACAAACTGTAAATTGGCGTGATTTTCTCTTTGACTACTTCTTCTCTTAATTTTGACACACTCATCTTCCATATAGAATTTTAACTTAGCAACAATCTAACTCCAATACTTTGGCCACCTGATGTGAAGAACTGACTCATTTGCAAAGACCCTGATGCTGGGAAAGATCGAAGCCAGGAGGAGAAGGGGTCGACAGAGGATGAGATTGCTGGATGGCATCACCGACCCGATGGACATGAGTTTGAGTAAGCTCTGGGAGTTGGTGATGGACAGGGAGGCCTGGTGTGCTGCAGTCCATGGGGTCACAAAGAGTCGGACAGAACTGAGTGACTGAACTGAACTGAACTGCCCTACAGACACTTATGTATTCATTTCTAGTTAAATCTTTTATTATATGCGGGTATATAAAAATTTTAACAGATAATTCTACAATCTTTGAATAATATTCAGTTCAGTTTTTGGATGAAAAGCAAGCAATAATAATAAAAAAGGGGGGGAACCTTTTTTGTGATAATCA